CTAACATCCCTTGGATTATGATCCAAGGACAAACCAGACATTTTTATCTTTTCACTTTTATTACCTGAAAATATTAGTAAGGACGAGTATCTCCCACCCCACTAAATCTCTTGTTAACAAGGACAAGATAATTACATGTTTATATACATAATACTGGAAATATTATTTTACATGGATTTGTATCAGCAATGACACTCAGTCACCAAATCACCATCACAAAGGAGCACACATGACAAACAATCAATTATGTTCACCACTTCAGATCATGCATATTTTTACTGATTAGCACGTCATAATACATGTATTATACCACGTCAATCGATATGTCACAACACGTGTCGTAATCGCCCTCGTCGATGTATTACAACACATATATCATAACAACATCAACTGACATGTTACAATGCATATATCACAATTGTACAATCTCTATACTACTTCATACACATCACACTTTCACATTTATTTCACATTCACATTCAATGCCCCTGGGATCCCGTGAGGACTTCACAGTTTAGATAACCACTGGTTAGCCGCAATAACACGGATACACGTGTGCCTCTCTAACCCCTTTCAGCAAAGATATAGTCAGAAGTCTCGTCAGAAAATAAGTGCGTGGCCTGTGACTGCCTTCACTTTCAATAAATCAATGTGCACACGGTCACAATAAGCATTCACCACCCTTATTTTTCTAAAATTTCTCAAATCTTCTCCGGACTCTATACCCCAAGTGTATCTTTGAGCTATCTAAGCTCACTACCAATACCTCTCACTCTTTTTCACACCCTTTTATAGGGCAACGTGTCATAACACGTGAGTCTTGACCAAATAACTTGGTGTATTACAATACATATATTACAAGTACACCCCTTGAGTTGTATCGCAATACCTGTATTCCAATCACATCCATTCATCTATCCTGACTCCCGTATTATAATAACTTTTTCCATCATTTCATTTAATTCATTCACACGTGCTCTCATTGCACTTAACTACGCTCACTGTGGCACTATGATCATGTCATACAGACAACTTTTCATTTATTTAAGAATATTCAAACACTCTTATCAATAACATGGTTTCACTTATTTGGTATATCCAATTATCAAGCAACATAAATATATCATGCTTCAAACATCATAACATTTAACAATTTACAAAACCACCAACCAACTCATTCATTCACAATACTCTAACATTTTTCATTACAACCTAGTTCAACCAATATCTGCATACCACAATCATCAACAAACACTCGATACAGAAAACCTTTAAATAGTTCATACATCACACAGATTAATATAATGTGTCGAAGGTCGAACACCTCCAGACTTAGTCCAATCGTACGATTCAACATGCACATCTTTCCAATAATAATAATAAAGTCTTCTATCCTAAGGTCTGACATAATCCATTATTCCAAAAGCATTAAACAACATATTTTGACTACTCCTATCAATGTCTACTTAGTAAAATCCTAATGTTCCTCGAAGACCCTTTTTATTTAGAGCCTTTATTACAATTTACATTTAGATAGTTATTAAGTAGTTAAGGATTCCCCATTTGAACTACCCAAGAGAGGTTAGGGTTTGGGATTTACTCTACTTACCTTGGAATGAAGACCCTTCACAAAATCCACGATAGACTAGCTCTTCTCACGAATTTTCGTCCCTAAAACATGGAAACCCCCATGAGAAACTGAGAATACAAGAAAGAGGGATGAGAAACCAAAAATTCTAACTCATAAACTTACCTCCAAGCGTCCCAAACTTAACTTCAACCTTCAATCTAGCTTCCAAATGACTCTGGAGGCAATTTAATCGGTAAAAACAGGTTGCAATTAGAGAGAATCGAATGGATTTCAAAGGGAGGGATGGAAAATGAATTTACTGAACCCTAAACCCTTCAAATACTCCTTTGATCACACACACTCGCTACAACGACATATTCTCGCTGCAGCGAGGAGACACCTTCTTTCGCTACAGCAAAAATCTCAGGGGAAACTGGTTTCTGCAGAATCTCCTACAGCAAGACTGCACCCAAAAATTTACTCCTCAGTGTCGCTCTCTCGTTACAACAAGAAAACCACAGTCTCACTCTCTTCTCCCAGGACTTTCTCGTTACAGCGAGAACATCTCAGAAATACTTACTTAATCTATTTTTACATCTAATCACAATGCACAATCAACATCCACATTCATCTCACGTATACACATGTATCCACTTCATGCATTCACACCACCATCTAATACCCATCATCATCACATACTCAAACATACAAACACATGAAAATTTCTATATATATATATTTACATATAGTAATTAAATATTATTACAAAATCTGGGGCGTTACAAAAATTAGTTTTCATGGTTTAAATCTCCTCTTGAATTTATTTTTCTTCTTTAACATTAACATTGTTTGTTTGGTGGCAAAGACAAAAAGGAATGTGATAGTTTTTTCTATCTTAGTTTACTTTTGGTGTTTGTAACAATAAAATATAATAATTTATCTTGTTGAGTTATATATTCTAGCTTTATAATTCAAGTTTTTATCCTGAATAGGGGATGAGTTATAGGAAATACGAGGATAGTATAACTTTTTTTTCTACTACTTTATTACTTATATTTATGTCATCTTTAATATTTTGTAAAAAATAATTATTTAAAAATATAATTTAAATACTTTTTATAAAAAAAATTATATGAGCATTTTTAATTTTTTTTATACTATACTCATTTTATAAAATAGAAATCTAATTGTTTTAAAATTTATTTTTATTTAAATTATAATTTTTTGCCAAAATTATATTTTAATTGTAAAAAATTGAAGAAAATTATTATGATTTAATAATAAAATTTTAATATTATATATAGACAAAAGTGTTTTTATTTTTTAATAAATATTTTTATTAAAAGTCAAAATTTTGAATTAAAATGTTTTTTGGAAAACTATTTTAATTTTGATAAAAAGACTATTTGTCATTTAAATATAATTTATATCTTGTTTTATTATTCTTTATTTATTTTAAACATTAAACAATATGACATAATTTTATTCTTTACTATCTTAATATACATCAAACATTTGAAATGATAAATTTTTTTATATCCTATTTTTATCCATCTTGCTGTCATTGCATAGAAATTTAAATCATCAGCTAATATTATTTAATGCTAATAAAAATGTTGAAACATCTTTAAGTGATTTATTTTTTGTGCAATATACATTATATAAAGGATATATTATGAAAATAAATTTATTTTTTGGTAATATTAAGAACATTAGATTAGATTAACTATTTTTTAATAAGCACAATTTAATTATTTTTTATTCATATTTAAGAGTAGAGACATAAAAGACGCACTGTAGGAAGGTTAAGTGATACAAAAGAAGAAATATAATTAAGGGTTTCAGTTATATTAAAAAATAATATAGAAAATAAATTGAGAAAGCGTGAAATGAAAAGGGATAAAGGGTAATTTAACCTTTCGTTGATACAGCCAATTAATGTTGATTTTTATACCTAGCAGGTTTATGCTCCATGTTGAAGAATCTTGAGGTACTTGACTTGTCCAAAAATAACTTTGTTGACTGTGATATTGCATCTTCTCTTATTGGGCTTTCATCCCTCAAGTCTTTAAATTTAGTAGATAGCCAAATGACTTCGAGATCAATTCTAAGTATGTCACACTGCGCATATTATAAATCCTGTTTATTTGTTTACGGTTGAACAATATGTGTAACTGTAATGAGTACATACATTGCTAGATATATCAAAACTGAGGTCTCTGGAAATCCTTGACTTAGCTGTCAACCAATTGAATATGAGTATCCTGCGGCATTTAGGTTCGTTGACACAATCCATTATCCACGGGACTATGTTCTTTGTTCTTATTGAGTACTGATAACTGAAAGTTTACAATTTTTTATTAGAGAATGATGGATTTGCATGGCCAACCAAGTTACAATTCCTGGGGTTGAGTTCAAACAGTTTCAGTAACAAAATACTTTCATCTCTAAGTGGGCTTCGAAATCTCAAACACCTTGATTTAAGCAGTAATCAGCTCCAAGGATCGTTAAATATCAGTGGTCAGTACTGCTTTTGATTATTTATAATATATATGAAAAATAATTTCTTAGAATGGTGATTGCAATTGCTACTCAAAGTCTCAAACCCGTTAACACAAGTTGCAACAACATTCACATCGATTGACCTTCCTTTTCTATTGATGATTTCTTTGACAAATTCAAAGATCTGTCCCCTGGACAACATCTCAGCGATAAAAAATATTACAAGATAAGAAAATGGCTCAGGGGAAGAAGACTTGGACTTGACCCATTGGCAGCAGCAATGAAAGAATCTTGGAGAAGAGAAGGGAAATAAGAGGAGACTAGGAGAGATTTGTTTCTCAAAACTAGTTCAAAAATAACATCCCTTCTCTTGTAAAGAGCTCGAAAATGCTTGCACAACATTGATTCAGTTCTGGGTTGAAAAGAGAAGGGAGCAAGGGCATAGGCGGCGTCTCCTCCAATGTTGGAGCAGTCAGAACTGTCCTACTGAGAGTTGGAGAAAGGGGGAGAAGGATTTTGGTTAAGGGCTTCTATGTCATTTGGTGTTGCTTGAAAAGGGATTTTCGTTTTGAAGGGTTTTTAAATTGAAAATTCAAAACTCATTTCATATTAGTTCTCTCCTTTCTTTTCGAAAATTTTGCTTAAGCTAACTTGTTTCACTTAAGCAAATTCATCAAATTAGAATTTAGCTGGTCTAAATTCCTTTTTTTTTAGCATAATTTTGCTTAAGCAAAAATGATCTTAAGGGAACTAAATAAATTTTCAAGCATTTCTTCCTGGTCACAATTTGCTTAAGTGAGCGAATTTAGCAAGTTTGAATTATCAATCTAATTGATATTTATCTTTCCAACGAAAATATTTGTTGTGGTATCTTAAAAACAAACACACATCATGATATAATAATCAATTTTCTATTTAATTGTAGCAGGATTATCAGCTTTGAACAGCTTGAAGATTCTCGATCTAAGTGATAATCAGATCAATAGTTTTGTTGTCCATCAAGGTGTTTAATCAATTAATATTAAAAATCTACTTGTCTGTTTGTTGATGGAGACACATTTGCCTTGCCATATTCACCTTAATTAAGACATATTTGCATTTTTAGTTAACCCACCTTACATCTTTTCAGGTTTCAAACCTCTAAGTAAATTGGAAGTCCTTGCCTTAGATGTGAATATGATAAATGGAAGCATGTTGAGGAAGTCGTTAAAAGCCTTCACATCTATAAGGGTGCTTTCTCTGAGTGAAAACGAATTTATAGGAACAATTGTTGCTGAAGGTACTAATAGTTCTTAATTTATCGGTAAATTAACTGATAATTTGATTTCTTTAAGGTTCCTTTTATTTTTAATTTTGTGCAGACTTTCGTGACCTAAGTTGCCTCGAACACTTGACATTGGAAAATTCTAAGATAGAAAATGTGTTTTTTGAAAGTATTGGGGAATTGACGTCTTTGAAAGTTTTGACTCTTTCAGGATGTGAAATAAATGGCACCCTTCCTGATGCTGGTAAATTAATCATTTCGGCTATTAGAATACCTTTTTATGTTATGCATCACATCTACAGAACTATGTCCTTTAGTATGTCGAAAAGTATCTACATCCTTTTCATTTTGTCCTTTTTCAGATGGATTTTTTTTTTAATTTCAATTTTTCATTTTACAGGTTGGTCTAAGCTCAAGAAGCTGGAAGAATTAGATTTAGGGGAAAATGAATTTGAGGGTCCACTTCCTTCATCTTTTGTTAACATGACTTCTCTTCGAAGGTTGGAACTTTCTTATAATCACTTCACTGGAAATTTTGATTCTAACCTTGCAAGCTTTACATCACTAGAATATTTTGGTTTTATAGAAAACCAATTTGATGTTCCTGTTTCTTTCAAACCATTTGCCAATCATTCAAAACTCAAATTCATCTATGGTGAAGGAAACAGAGTAATACTAGACTCACATCCTAGTTTGCAAACTTGGATTCCAAAATTTCAATTACAAGTCCTCAGTTTGTCTTCAACAACAGTGACTAATTTTCTCCCACTCCCCCATTTTCTTCGTTACCAATACAATTTGACTAGTCTGGATTTGACTAGTTGTAAGTTGGAAGGAGAGTTTCCGAACTGGTTGTTGGAAAACAACACAAAAATATCTGAATTTCTTGTTAGAAATTGTTCTTTTACAAATACTTTCCAATTACCATCACATCCCCTTCCTAACATGAGGAGAATTGATGTGTCTGATAATGCAATAACTGGCCACATACCTAGCAATAATATAAGTTCAATCTTTCCAAATTTGCAATTTCTAAACATGTCTATAAACAATATCCAAGGTTCAATTCCTCATGATTTTGGCCAAATGAACTTACTAGACACATTGGATCTCTCAGACAATCATTTGTCTGGAGAAATGCAGAACATATCTGGGGATAAGTCTCTGCTCAATTTTCTGAAACTTTCAAACAATAAATTAGATGGATCTTTGTTTCCTACTTTGTCAAATTTGAAGCATTTGGAGCAGTTGTATTTGGATGGCAATAGCCTTTCTGGTAGCATCCCAAGTAGCTTTCCCAACGCATCATTGTTGGCCTTGGATTTAAGCAATAATCATTTAGGGGGTAAACTACCAAGGGTGATAGGCAATTCATCAAACTTAGTGGCGCTTTCATTGTCTAACAATCATCTTGAAGGATCTATTCCAACTCAATTTGTGGAACTTCAATCTCTAGTTTATCTAGATATGTCAGACAACAGTTTCACTGGTTCTGTACCATCTTTTGCTAATGCTTCGGCAAGGTTCATTCATTTGAACAACAATAGGTTGAGTAGCTTGTCAAAAAGGATGTTCGGAGAAAGTTCTTCCCTATGGATATTAGACCTTAGATACAACGAAATAAATGCCAACATACACAATATGATACAAGATCTCAGTTATTCAGGGGTGAGCATTCTTCTTTTGAAAGGTAATCTCTTTTTAGGGAAAATATCAAAGCAAATATGCCAACTGATTGATTTGACTATCCTTGATCTTTCTCATAACAATCTTTCTGGTCCAATACCAAGTTGCTTGGGCAAAATGCATTTTGAGAATGAGAACCCTGTGCAATCACAGATGATATTTGGTGGCTTCTATGATAGAGGTAAAAACTCATTGCCTTATGTCCAAGAGAAAGTAAACTTCACTACAAAGGAAAGATCCTACAATTATACAGGGGAAATCCTTTCTTTTATGTCTGGAATTGATTTATCCTACAATAAACTAAGTGGGAATATCCCACCTGCTCTTGGAAACTTGACAAAAATTCGAGCAATGAACTTGTCCCACAATTATTTGACTGGGAAAATTCCAGCTACATTCTCCCATTTGGTACAAACAGAGAGTTTGGATCTATCTTTTAACATATTAAGTGGTCAAATTCCTTCTCAATTAAGTGATTTAACCTCTCTTGCCATCTTCAGTGTGGCGCATAACAACTTATCAGGTGAAACACCAGAAAGGAAAGGGCAATTTATAACCTTTGATGAAAGAAGCTATGAGGGTAATCCTTTTCTTTGTGGACCTCCACTACCAAAAAGTTGTTATCCTAATGAACAACCACCTGTTATTTTACCCAATGACTCAAGTGTTGATGGGGACAAAGGAGGTTTGGTTGACAGGTATGTTTTCTGCATAAGCTTTGGTGCCTCATACGCATCAATATTGTTGGTAATTGCAATGACTTTGTACATGAACCCTTACTGGAGGCAAGCATGGTTTTACTGTATGGAATTGGTCATCACAAATTGCCACTACTTTCTCGAGGACAATTTGTGTAAGTTTACAAATTTTAAAAATACGTAACATTTCATCTTTTATGTCTAGAATATCTGTTTTATTGCCTGCTCAAGTGTAACTCAATAAACTAAGACATCAGCCTACTCCTTGTGGGCTTCTTATGTAAACTAGATATATATAAACTTCAAGTCACAAATATATTAGACTTCTTTATGTGACAATATACAAACATTTTTTACTTGTTACTTGCACTAATATCCTTTAATTTCTTCTAACAACTCAACAGTGGATTTTATTAGGTTTAGTTTTTATTTAATCAAAATTAAAATTAAACATTAAAAATTAGTTTTTAGGAGTTAATGGTTTTTTCACTCTTAATTTCTCTTCTAAAATGTGATTCAATAACAACCAAGTAAAAATTTCTAAACCTTCTTTGACCTGTTTCATCTTTAAATTTTATTTTTTTTTTGGTTTCATAATTTACTTCATTCATTGTATCCATATTTCTCCACTTTCCTTGATGTTAAATGAAGATAGCAAATACTATAAAAACATAAATGGGAATCATAAAACCATATAAGAAGAAGAGTGAAAAAGGAAAAACAAAGCTATTTTTGTTTTTGCTACATAACCATACAATTCTGCTTTCATGCATGATATTTAAATAGAAATACATCAGATATGATATCCCATCATAATACCCATACATGCAATCAGCAAAATGCCATGCACCCACAAACATTAGGAGTGCAAATCTATCCAAAATACAAGCAAACTAAAACTACTAATTATAACATTTTTTATTAACATAAGCAAATATATTGCAATAAGTAAACATAATTAAAATAGTAAATAGTAATTAAGAAAAGTTTTACAGCCCATTAAATTTAATTCCTCAAGGGGTGCTCAGTCACTCACTCAAATTCCGAAGGGATACTCGTCTTTGCCAATTATCTTCAATAACTCTCAATGGTTAATTAAGTCACAACTTAGGGGAAGAAGGTGAAGTGTAGAAGGTGTCTCTGTCAGGAGCATAAAGCTTCTTTATATAAGGTGTATACTGAGTTCTCCAATCGTCACTTGGCCTCCAAGAAATAAACTCAATCTATAAGAAAGAAGATTTGATTTGCCAACCTTCAAAATGTTAACTGAAAACCACTCCAAATCTTCATATCTAAATCCAATATTCAAATTTCTGATTTAAAATTTAAATCTGAAATTTGAACTCAAATTCATCTAGCACAGTCGTGTATAACCTCCAACACGGCCATGCATGTGGTTAAAAAGCACTCCCAAGTAGTTATGAAACAAGGTCGTGCTTGCTAATGAACATGACATACTTTTCATCTAAAATCAACCAATTCTTGTTAAATTGCTTCCACAATGCACTGATAACCTTTTTTTTTTTTATCTAAATTGCAATAATTAACAATATAATTAGTGCATTTTATATTAAAAATAAGATCTAAGTATATGATTATAAGCTCTAAAGTACATCAAATTACAGACTTATCTCAGCTGTTGCAGCAATATACTCTGCTTTAGCTAAAGATTGAGCAACTACATATTGCTTTTTGGTGTTCCATGAAAACACCCTACTTCCAAGTGAAAAGACAAATATGGTTGTGCTCTTTGAATCATCAATAGAACCAGCCCAATCACTATCAACATAACCGTCAAGAAGCCTTCCATCTCCTTTGTAGTGCCAAATACCAAAATCAGTTGTACCTCTCAAACATCTCAGCACTCTTTGCCTACACCAAAGTGTGTTAAACTTGGTGAATGCATGAACCTTGAAAGCAAACGAGCAAAGAACATCAAATCTAGTCTAGTTGCATTCAAGTAGAGAAGGTTGCTAACCAAACTTCTATATTGAGTTATATCAGCCTTTTCATCACAATCATTCTTTGAAAGCTTTTTCCATAATATACTTCCTTTCATCTCATCTCATTATTTATATAAACAAGTTGTGCCTATAGTACAATGTAACATCCTCGTTTTTCTAAACAGTTAATTTGTTAATATAATTATAATTTAGATTATAATTCTTCAATTTTTTTGAAAAAAAAATTATAATAAAAAAAATAAAAATAAAAATAATTGCTCATTTATACCGGTTAAAATTGTTCTATGAGGATAAAAATAGCATTTTTAATTACGAAGAATTATTTTAAATAATAAATTTTATATTTTTAATTAGAAATAATATTTGGAGTGTAAAAATAATTATTTTGGTAATTATTGCTTACTTTTAGATTTTGGTTGATACTGTTTTATGTGTTAACAGAAACTGTGTGATTAGTTTTTTTTCCTTTTTCTTTTTCTTTTTAAGTGATAACCAAGGAGATATTGATGTAAAAAATTATGTTATAATTATTTTAATTGTTTGGCATCAATTATTTTTATTTTTGAGTTTTATTCATAATTATTTTATTTAATTACATTAAAATAGCAAAATAATTGATTATTATTTCTTTACCTATTTGACTAAATTGACCACTTTCTTACGTGAACCTTCTTCTTCTCCAACTCCATAACCCCTTCTTCTCCCTTTCACCATTTTCATTTTCTTCCACTCATTTAAGCTTGTTTTAAGGTATGTTTTTAATATATATCCTTAATTAAGCTTAATTATTTGTTAATTATCATTTCATCCGATTAAAATTTTAATTTTTCCATGTTTTTTTGGCTGTCATGAACAGTAAAAATGGGTCTTACTTTGCTTCAAAATTATTGGTTTTAAACTTGCTTTCTTTTGTACTATATGTAAACTATGCATGGCTTATATTGTTTACATAATTAGTTTTTCAAAAATGTGATTAAAAAGCACTAAACCCTCACAAGGGTTGGCTGCCATGTGGTTCTAGAGAAGGTGAAGTGAGTGTTTTTCACTTCCATTTTATTCCATTTATATTAGTTAGATGATAGAAACTAATTTTGTGTTAATCGGACTTTTATAGCAAAAGTTAGAAAATTTCAATTTTTACATATACATATAAGAGTATAAAATTAACATCTCCTTAGTATTAATTATGTTTAGGCATGATTAATTGATTAGGTTGATCGTTTCGAAGATTGGATTGTTTGAGTTTTTCTAAAGAATCAGAAAAGAAAAAATCCATCCATACCTTCATCAAAGAACATCCGTAAGGTAAGGGTGGGATGATTTTATTTCAATAGGTGGCATTAAGAACCGTAAGGGAATAATTCTCTATTGTTCTAATCAAATAAAATGAATTTGGGTTATTTTAGAGCTAACCCATAATTTTTAGAAGATTTTGTTATAGTACTGGACATGTATGAAAGGTTGCCTTAGACCAGGAAATTGATTGAACAAGGACTCTCCCTTATATGTAAGGTCCTTTGTGTATTTAAATTAATGTATTGGAATGATTTATGGTTGAAGTGTTGTATTGAATTATTTCTTTATAATTGGTTGAATTCTCATTATGTGTTTGTGTAGATATTCTTGTTGGTATGAATGCCATATAATGGTAAAGATTGGAAGTAATTTAGTTTTATGTGATGTGAGCATATAGATTGACATAATTTAAATGTCCATTCAGACTTGTTGGAGAGAAGAAAATATGTTTTTAAGGTATATATATATAATTTATTTTATATATAGTACAAGTATCTTTTGACTTCTTTGGAAAATGGATTTAATAAAAATAAATAAATAAATTATATTACTGAGAAAGTAGTATTGGATATTTGGAAGGCTTGAATAATTTTTTTTAAAAAATGATTAAGTCCTCAATTTTTAAGCATGAAAACATATTTAAAGAAAGAGGGGAAGATACGATTTTCTTGGATTTTGAGATGATGGAGGTGGAATTTAATGAATTAGAAGTATTCTGGATTTTTTTCTGGTTGTTTTACAGGAAGAAGAAAATTTTGGAATATCTGATTTACAGAGGAGACTCTGTCGAATTTCATTGAGAAAAGAAAAAGTTAAGGATTGTACTTAACAATAAAGAAAAATTAAATTTTTTCTCTAATTAAATTAATTAGGAATGAAGACATGCATTATGAACATGTGATAGTGTGATGAGTGGACAGGGAAGTATAAGAAATCTAGGGGCGACTCCAGGGTAGTCTTGGGGATAGTGACGTGTGATTGAATCTGATAGTGGCCAAGGCTCGCCACCTTGTGCTGTGGACTCTCACTGCAAAACTTTACTATCCTGACTGGTCCCAAGAGATTTTTGTATTAGTAGAGCTGTTACTGTATTATGAGATTAACAAAGTTGGCAGCTAAGTAACAGTGAAACTCCTGATCCTTCCCTGAGTAAAAGAAACAGATTGATGGTTCTGGGCCCACATGCATGTGTCAAAATGTACTAAGTTATAATAATAGACTTGCATCATTTCTCATTCATGGCATATGCATTTGCTTGGTAGATTATGGGTGTTGATAATTAATTGTGTGATTGAAACCCTTATATGTCTTTTGCTGCTGGAGATTGAATCGAATTGTCTCACCCTTTTATTGCTATGTGTGTTGTGTGTGAATATGTTTATTAGGTAAGAACATTGATGGCTCGACCACCGTACCAATTCAGCGTCTCGATCAGATATGATCCCGAGGGAAGATGGGTGCACGACTGGGAGCAACAACGATTCACCCACACTGGATCTATTACCTTTTTGTTAGATAGAAATGGGTCAGGCCCACGAGCTTACCCTATCCCCATCCGAGTACCCATGAGACTTACTTTTCCATTTCCTCCAGATGTACAGTTTGTGCGACCCCCTACCCCACCTCTTGTCCCTGTATTATCACCTCCGGTATTACCCCCAGGTTTCCTTAGACCTTTACGTCCTTCTATACCATATTTACCACCTGTTGAATGGACTAGTTTAGTTGACACACTTTTAGCAAGACCTATCTCTATCTCATCCACTTCCTCTTCGTCTTCCTCTAGTTCTTCAGACTATCCTGATTCTTCTCACTGTTCAAACACCTCTACTGCTATTGGAAGGAAGAGGACTGCTTCTCAAGCAGGACTCCTTCCTAATTTTACCTCCTCTGAGTAGGAATCTAGTGGAAAAGGAGAGTAGGATAGAGTCGAGTAAGGAATAATCTATACATATATGTAGGTGTAAGTACTTTTGACTGAAAAGAAAAAGGGGTATATAGGAAGCCTAACCTTACCGTTGTTGAATTTTGGGAGGAAATGGGCACTTTGGTGATCATGGATCTAGGGAAAAGCTCGTGAGGTCTTCGTTTTGGGTTGTCATCTCTGATATCGTGACCCCACTTTATTTCGTATGTAATTCAGTTATGTATATATTTAGATAACTGGATGATTGTATAAATTAACAGATGACGTGTATGTATGAAATGAAGACTTCTAGTAATGGTAATGTATTTAATTTCACTATATCTGAATAAATATATATATATACCCATGCATGTGATGTTCTTACTGCTTAATTATTTTATGATTGTATTTATATTTATTGCTTAGTAAGTAGTAAGGGTGTCACATTAAGTGGTATCAGAGCGGTTCTTTCCATACGCCTGGGAAAGGTATATTATGTTTGTCTGTGTGCTCTTGTGTTACTATTTTCGAAAGAAATTGGTGATACAAAATTTAGTACGTAAAGTAATTCTTAGTTTGCCTAGTTTTACTTTACGTATAGATTGGATTGATTTTTTGGTGTGTATGCAGTAAGTTATGGCTGGAAGACTGAATGTTAATGCTGCCATTGGGGCTATGCGAGACATGGCTGATGCGACTGTTCAAGTCTTGCAGGAGTTGCGTAACAACGCTACTATAAGAAATGATGTTGCACAAGGATTGGCAGATTTCCAGAAGAATAACCCTCCTTCTTTCAAAGGTGGCTTTGATCCTGATGGTGCTGAATTGTGGATCCAGAAACTGGAGAAGATTTTCTTGGCAATGAATTGCAATGACAACCAACGGGTTACATATGCAGTTTTCATGTTGGACGGAGAAGCTGAAAACTAGTGGCAAGGGACTAGACAACTTATGGTGGCCACGGGTGTTGAGATTACTTGGGAAGCCTTTCGAAGAAAGTTTTTGGAGAAATTCTTCCCAGAGACAGTGAGAAGGACTAAGGAAGCTGAATTTTTGTATTTGCGGCAAGGCAATATGTCTGTTAGCGAGTATGCCACGAGATTTGAATCTCTGTCTAAGTATGCTACTTATTATCAACACCAACCAGACGAACACTGGAAGTGCCAAAAATTTGAAGAAGGATTGCGTTATGAGATTCGCAAAGGTGTAATTACTCAAAGAATCAGAAATTTTCCAGAATCGATTAATGCTTGTACTGACTTGGAGGACTTAGATGTCCAAAGGAATGCTCGTGTGAAGAATTTTGGGCCCCAAAGGTTTAACAGGGGAGGACAAGGACAACAACAGAGGAAACCTTATCAACCATCGCTAAGAAGCCAAGGATTTGCATCTGGAAGCGGGAGATTCCAAGCCTCAGCTGGAGGATTTAGCAGACCAAGTAACAATCAAATCAACTGTTTTGTTTGTGGAGGGCCACATTTAGCCAGAAACTGTACAAGGAAGAATGTGTATTGTTTTAGATGTGGAAAACAGGGTCATTACATTCGTGAATGCCCTGAAATGAAGAAAGAAGTGAGCAATCAGAATAGTCGTAATGATGGCAACAAAAATAATAACAACAATAAGGTTGGAAGGCCCAAGGTTCAAGGAAAAGTTTTCACTATGAGTGGGGAGGAGGCATCCCACTCTGATGCTATGATACAAGGTACGTGTTTCATAAATGAAAATGTTTTGGGTGTATTGTATGATTCAGGAGCTTCTCACTCCTTTATTTCTGAAGTTTGTGTGAAACAAATTAACTTGCCTGTTACTGTTTTACCCTATGAGTTGATTGTTTCTACTCCTGGTAGTGCTCCTATCATTACTACCAAAGCTTGCTTGAATTGTCCTATAACCATAGAAAATAGAAATTTTTTTGTGAATTTGTTTTGCTTACCCCTTATTGATTTGGAGGTCATTTTGGGACTAGATTGGTTATCTGCCAATCATGTTCTTTTAGATTGTCACCATAGAACTATATCTTTTGATAATCATGTTAAACCATCTTCCGTGAATCTGAAATTCTTAACGGCTAACCAAGTCAATACTTCTTTGAGGGAAGGAGCTTAGGTGTGTATGGTGTTACTGTCATTAGAAGGGAAAATAGAATCTAAGATCGATAATCTTCCAGTTGTTTGCGATTTTCCTGAAATTTTTCTTGAAGATATTCCTGGGTTACCACCAGAAAGAGAAGTAGAGTTTGCAATAGATTTAATTCCAGGTGTCGGACCAATTTCTATTGCTCCTTATAGAATGTCACCTTTGGAACTATCTGAACTGAAGAAGCAATTAGAAGAATTGTTAGAGAAACAATGGGTTCGTCCTAGTGTATCACCATGGGGTGCTCCAGTATTACTAGTCAAGAAGAAAGATGGGATAATGAGACTGTGTGTGGACTACCGCCAGCTGAATAAAGTAACTATTAAGAATAAATATCCATTGCCGAGAATAAATGATCTGATGGATCAATTGAGAGGAGCAACTGTATTTTCTAAGATTGACCTGAAGTCTGGTTATCACCAAATTCGAGTTAAAGGAGATGATATTCCCAAAACAGCTTTTAGGACGCGTTATGGACATTATGAATATCTAGTTATGCCTTTTGGGGTAACTAATGCTCCTGCTGTATTCATGGATTACATGAATCGGATTTTTCACCCATATTTAGACAAGTTTGTGGTTGTTTTCATTGATGATATTTTGATATATTCCAAAACTAGAGAAGAACATGCAGAACATCTTCGCATTGTGTTGGAAATTTTGAGGGAAAAGCAATTATTTGCTAAGCTCACCAAGTGTGAATTCTATTTAGATGAGGTAATTTACCTGGGGCATGTAATCAACAAAAATGGTATTTCAATGGACCCTACAAAGGTGGAGACTGTTTTACAGTGGCAAAGACCAAGGACTATTACCGAAATCAGAAGCTTTTTAGGTTTGGCAGGCTACTATCGAAGGTTTATTGAAGGTTTTTCTAAGTTAGCACTACCTTTGACTACATTGACCCGAAAGAACCAACCTTTTGTATGGACGAGTCAATGTGAAAGTGGATTCCAAGAATTGAAGAAAAGTGTTGTTAGCAATCTAAACACTAGCAAGTGCACTAGGATTGCAGCAAGTGATGAGTAAATTTAAGATCCAAATATCGTCTCCACAGGGAATTTAGATTCAAGTATCACTTCATAGAATTATAACCATTTAAGCTTTTTCGAAATTGTAAGGAGAGTGGTAACATCTAATAATAGCAAACTGGAACAATTAAAAGTAAAATGAACTTGCAGAAAACAGAACAATGAACACACAGTTATGTGATAACAGAGGGAGAAACCATAGCTAGGGAATTGCTTCACCAAAACTCCAATGTTTAATCAATAAAAGTCTGAATTAACAAGCAATTGGAAAGAATGACAATCAGTTTCACATTATACTATTCAGAGGTTAATTCCTTAACTCAGTGAACCTAACATTCAATTAAACCATTCTAATTCCTTAGATCTAATTCAATTCAATGTTGCTTTAAGTGTAAGAAACCAAAAGATTGCAAGATCAAAGTTCCTTATCCCTAAGAAAACTAAAATCTTGGTGATTGGTTCAGATCTGAAGAACAAATTCAATTTCCATTGACAAAGGTTCCTCTATATTTAGTTAATCAAATTTCCATTCAATTTCCACGTGAAGTTCAGAATCAATCACTTAATCTATTCCAAAGCTTGAAATTCAGATCCAAATCAATTCAACATGTTCATTTCAGATCTACAATCCCTAACTATGAACGAATTACACAGCCATGGCAGCAGAAGAAGAAAAAGAAAGAGAAGAAGAGAAGAAGAGAAGAAGAGAAGAAGAAACTCAGAAACACCATGGAAGCTTGCTCCACTCCAATTCCTCTTCGTGAAGCTTCAAGATCTGAATCCCCACTCCTCTCTCTCACTTCCTCTAACCAGAAACTAACTAAAAAAACTGAAAATGAACAGAATCCCCTCTTTCCGGATCGTTTCTGGTATTTATAAAATTTCCCAGATTTTCACGTTATCACTTTTATGAGAAATAGTAGTTACGCAGAGAGTTTTTGGTTGCGCGTTAACACTTTTCCCAGAAATAGTGGCTAAGCGCATTTTCCTGATATTGAGAGCTCTCTGAAACTATCACTCTTGATGATAAAAGTGACAACGCAGAGCCAAGGTAGTTGCGCGTTATCACTATTGTTGATAAAAGTGATTACGCGCAACTCGCCAAGTTGAAGACTCTCTGGAACGATCACTTTTGATGACAATAGTGGTTACGCAGAGCTTTCCTAATATTTTGCTTCTCTGGAACTATCACTTTTAATGATAAAAGTGGTAACGCCCAGGCTTCACTTCTTCTTTGAGCTCTGAAGTGATCACTTTCACTGACAATAGTGATCACGCCCAGTCTGCAATTTCTTATTCTTGAGTTTTTGGAGTCCAGACTTGCTTCTTTCCTCTTCCTTGTCATCAAACATCCATGAATATGATCCTTGCTCAATTTATTCCTATAAAAACAAGATTAAAAACTTAATTCCTAAGCAAAAATTTCACAATTGCTAAAATAACTACATATGTAAACAAAATTCAATTCCTTCTCTTTTTCTAAGTTTTTCTGCTTTCTTTATATATTTTTCTTATCATTTGTGTTAGAATCATGCTAAAATATCAGTCAAAATATGAATTCATCACTACCCAAAACTTGAATTTTTGCTTGTCCTCAAGCAAGTCAAATTAAACCAAGGGTAATTCTTCCACTTTCAGAAACCATTTCACAACTGCTATATCAGAATTTTTCAATTTGCAATTCTGTGTTTTCTACAAAATTTTCAATCAAGATATTCATCCAATTACTCATCATTGCAATCACAATGCATTCATCAAATTTTAAGCAAGAATTGCTATCTAAGTGAATATATCAGCCAAGTTCATGTGAGAAACATTAAAATCATGATCACTTCTCACTGGACAGTGTTTCCCTCAATTCTCAGCAGTGTTTAAGTACTGTTTTCTCTCTTTAATCATCAATTCAGCTACACTCTACCATATGCTTGCCCAATTTCTCTATCTTCTCTGCTTAGTACAGCCAATCACACATCAAGAGGACTTTTTACAGTTTATAACAGGGCTTAGGTTAAGGTAGATACTGAACAAAATAAGAAACAAGTTGCAATTTCAAAAGATCAGAAGCATTTTGAGTGAATGACTTTAAAACTAGTCTGGTTTAGCATCAATTCACATTAAATTCCTCAGTTATGCAGCAGACTATTGGTTTTTGTGCAGCAGAATTTTTATTTTCCTTTTTCTTCTTCTCTGCAACAGTTTACTGCTAATTTCTTCTTTTTGATCTCCATTTTGCTCTTTTCAACTCAGATTCTATTTTTCAACAGTTTACTGCAACATGTTTAACTCTTCCATAGTTTTGCTGCATAATTTTTTTAATTTTCTGCAGTACTTTTGTTCTTTCGTTCTGACTTTTTGAACTTAAACTTAGATAGCTTGCTACTCCCCTACCCCAAACTTAAAATTTTGCTTGTCCTCAAGCAACTTAATTGGATGCTACCCCAAACTTAGTTTTAAAACTCATTCTTGATTAAACTCACAATGTCTTTGATCAATTTGAGTGGTAAAATTGGTTTTTCAGCAAGGCGTGTAATGAAGTTAACTCAAGAAAAGGGAATATGAAGCTCAAAAGGGGTAAACTAGGGCAATTAATCATAAGGGAAGGCATTTTAGGCTAACTAAGTATATGAAACATGGCCTCTATCATGTGTGTGAGAACTGTAACATGCATATTCAATTAAGAACAAGGGCAAGTTCTAGAGAATGCAGTAAAATCTGATTAATCACACAAGGAAAGAAGTAGGTAGCTCAAGTCTCACTAGGCATTTATAAGTGATCATGTGAATTAATGAAAACACAATGCACTTTTCAGAAATATATGCATCTAGTGGCAACTGCCTCATTTTTGAAAATACAAGTGTGATATCATTTTGAGAATGGGAAAAACAACTTAAAAAGAATTTCACACAGAATTCACAGCCAGCAGTTTATTATCTATTCTAATATTTTGGTGTTTTTCAACAACAATTCAGTGTAATGTGAGGCTACACATGAATAAGAGGTAGAGAATGAAACCCCCCTTTCATGGCAGCTTGTGCAAGAGTCACCATCCAATGTGTGTGAGTGTTGTGTGTGATATTCTCTGCACAAAAACACCAAAATTCCATTAACTCGCAACAAGATAAAGGTATTTAGTTAAGAAGCTAATATAATTGCAAAATAGGTAAGTGAAAATTAAACCAAATTATACCAATTAGTGATTACAACCCAAAAAGTTTAAACTACCAGAAATTTACAAAAATCTAATAACAGAATTTAAATTCCTAGACTAATCTTCTGCTGCATCTTCTTCCTCTGAGCTTTCCTCTTTAGAACCTTCTTCTTCTTCTTCTTCTTCCACTACCTCTTCAAATGGTGGCTGAGGAAAGTGGGTTCTGTATATTGGCATATTCTTGAAAACAGAAGAACGAAGGCACTGGGCATTCTCTGCTAAGTCTGGAGTATGATACATTTCTTCTTTGGTCATTCCCAATTTCTGACCAATATTCAGCATAATACATTCCATTAACATGACTCCAGCTTTGAGGCTATTATGCAGCTCGGTCTGCCTTTCAGCAAGTTGATTCTGCCCTTCAGCTAGCTGCTTCAGAGTGTCCTTCATCATCATTAGTTTCTCTTTCTTGAATTGTGAAGGAATTGGGGCTGCAGAGGTGCAGGAAACAGTTGCATAAATCTCTTTGATCAAAGCTGCAGAAATGGATGGTGCAGCTCTGATTTTCTCTTGATAATCACCAAACTCTACTCCTGCGTCTTCACAAAGTAGTGTAATTACTGAAGGAAAAGCTAATGAATCCCTTTTTGTCTTCAGTATTCCCAAGATACATTCACTTATTACCTCTCCCACATCTATGTAGATGTTGGAGACTATGGCAAAAAGCAGAGCAGCCCTCTTCACAGCTAGTGTGGAGCTATGTTTGACAGGCATGAACGAATTTAAAATAA